TCAGAATGCAATGATTTAAAAATTCGCATTAATGTTTTAGATAAAGATATTTCTTCTATTAAATTAAAATATGATGATATATGTTTGAATGTTAGTAAATTCAATAAAAGTAAAGAGAATTTGAATAATTTGCTCTCATTTCAAAAATCTTCAAACAATCATTTTGGCATTGGATTTGTTCCTAAGTATTTTACAAAGAATGATTATGTTTTGAAGAATAATAATAAGAATATTCATGCTAAACAAAATAAGTATATATGGATTCCTAAGAATTTGAATATTCATGATAGGAATGATTATATTTCATCTTATATGTATGAAGTTTGCAATTCAAAGAATTACACTTATGTTAATAAATGGAAACCAAATTCCAAGTGGATTTGGATTCCTAAGGGCTAATCCTAATGATATAATATAAAAGGGTACCAAAGTGCTTAATATTTTTATTAAGGTACCCGAGAAAATAAAAATTTAACTAGAATTATGTTTATTTCTTTTTGCTAATGACAAAGGGGGAGTTATATAGAAAATTTTAAATTTTTTACTAATGCTTTGATGCAGGGGGAGTAAAAGATTTTATTTAATGATTTCATGCAGGGGGATTAAAATTTTTATATCTTAATAACATATATTTGTCATCATCAAAAAGGGGGAGAATGTTAGGAATCTTGACCCCAAGATTAGTTTGTTTTGATGATAACAAATATTATATGTTGTGTGTATTATGTGCTAACATTTGTTTTGCAGTATCAGAGCTATATCAACAATTATATTCAAAGAGATACTCAAGACATAGATGAGTTCAAGGCAAAATGAAGCAAAGAGGAAGATATACTTTATTGTCTAAATGTAATTTTATATTTTCTTTGCTTAGAAATTTGTACAAGCCTTGATCACTCACACACATGCACACACATAGTGTTAGAACATACTAACACATACTTAGTGTGTTGGTTAACAATACAAATCCTCTATGTTAGTCATTAGAGTTTATAGATATTGAGTGAGTCTTAAAATATTTCATTTACACCACTTAACAATTAGAATCTGAAAAAACTCAAAAGATCAAAGTTGTAGGTCTCTTCAATAGCTTTCCAACAAATCTTAAATCACCTCATTCCGATATCGTATGAGAAAGTTACAGTCAAAATACTAAAAAGAAAAATTTCAGAATCCTTGTAGTCGACTACTAAGCAATTTTCTGACTTCACAGAGTCTGTTTAGACTCAGTGTAGTCGACTATTATGACTTGTAGTCGACTACAGATGTAGTTTTTCCAGATTTCAGGTTTTAAATAAGTGATTGTTTATAGCCGTTTTGTGGACGTTAATTGGGTTTAAAATTATGTCATTTCAGAAGCTATAAATAGTTTTAAACATCAGAAAACAAGCACAAAGTTTTGCACTTGCAAGATCAAACATTTTGTGCATATTTACTCTCTAATTTTCTAGATTTTCATGCTAAGTGTTTAGAAAAAGAGAGTTTCTGATATTGCCTTGGTTTCAATCATTCTTAGAGATTGTATAGGTAATATTCAGAGAGTTAAAAGAATCCTAAGATACTGCAGCACTTCACTATACATTCAAGGCTTATAGATTCAATTATGTTCTTGCTTCAAAAAGGATTTCTCTCGGGTTTGAGAGGGTTGATCTCTTGGTTTAGAGATTGGGTGGCAATTGGCATGGTCTTGTCAATTGGGTTTGCAATTTGCATGGTCTTACAAATTGGTCAGGTTTGCTTTTGATTTTGTAAGGTTTCAAAATTATAGTGGAAACTCTCAAGCAGGATTTGCTTGGGGATTGGATGTACACCGGGGAGGTGGAACCAGTATACATGCTTGTGTTTGTGATATTCATTTTCTGATATTGCCATTCTTTCTTTATAATTTATAATCTACTTTGCAAACTCACCCTCTAGTGTTTAAGTGTAAAGCTTCTGCAGATTTTTATAAGAGTGCACTCTATTCTTAAGGGTCACGATCCTGCACTTGGTATACATAAGCAAAATCAGGACCCTACAAAAATGAATGATGGCGTGAAGCGATGGCCAAGGAAATTGAAGCACCAGAGGCCAATCAAACCTGGACACTTAAGGTACTACCTAAAGGAAAGAAGCCAATAGACTGTCATTGAGTTTACAAAGTCAAGCGCAAAGCGGACGGGACTATGGAACGGTACAAAGCACGACTCGTTTCCAAGGGATTCACGCAAGTAGAGGGACTCGATTTTCATGAGACGTTCGCACTAGTTGCAAAGCTTGTTTCAGTTCGAGTTTTTCTTTCAGTTGCAGCGGCGCGAGGATGGGAACTACATCAAATGGACATGAATAATGCCTTAATACATGGAGATCTCGATGAGGAAGTGTACATGAAACTACCTCAAGGTTTCCGAACTAATTGTGGAGATTGTATCTGTCGTCTTCGTAAATCCATTTACGGACTACGCCATGCTTCACGAAATTGGTTCAATAAATTGATCGGAGCACTTACGCGGTATGGTTTTTCTCAATCCTTGGCAGATTATTCTTTATTTACTTATCCTCGACATGGCGTGTTCATGGGTCTTCTTGTGTATGTCGACAACATTATATTAATCGGGAATAATCATGATGAATGTGCGGCTTTCAAACGCTATTTACATGAGTGTTTTCATATCAAGTATTTGGGTTCTTTAAAATTCTTTCTTGGCATTGAGGTTGCTAGGTCGCATATTGGCATTTCCTTGTGTCAAAGGAAGTATGCCTTGGAGATTCTCGCTGACACTAGATTACTTGGGAGTAAGCCGGTCGAGACACCTATGGAGCATAACCATAAGCTTGCTCTGGCCGAGGGGGAGGAAACAAATGGTGCGAGCTATCGACGACTTGTGGGTCGTTTGATCTATTTAACCATCACACGTCCAGAGATTTCATATGCAGTTCATGTTCTTTCCCAATTTGCTCAAGCTCCTCGCAAAGAGCATTTTGAGGCAGCAATGCGAGTTGTGAGATACATCAAAGGAAGTCCAGGCCAAGAGATTCTACTATGATCTAATTACAATTTGAGAATACAAGCCTAATGCGATTCAGATTGGGCGAGCTGTCCAATTACTCGTCGCTCAGCTAGTGGCTACTTCATCACAATCGGGGAGTCACCCATTTCATGGAAAACGAAGAAACAGAGCACCGTCTCGAGATCATCGACAGAAGCAGAATACCGAGCTATGGCAGCCACAACAAGTGAACTTGTATGGTTGAAGTCTTTGTTGACCTCATTTTTGGTGGATCACGAACAACTGATGGAGTTATTTTGTGATAATTAGTTGGCTATTCACATAGCGACCAATCCAGTCTTTCATGAGCGAATGAAGCATATTGAGATAGATTGTCATTTTATTCAAGAACAAGTGTAGACTAGAAACATCGTTATGGCGCACTTTCGTTCACAGTTTTAGCCAGCGGACATTTTCACGAAGGCACTTGCTAAACCACAGTTCTCTTTCTTGTTAGGCAAGTTGGGTATTCATGTTGTGTATGCGCCAACTTGAGGGGGAGTGTTGATGATACGAAGATATCCTTAGTGATATTTTTGGTTAATTGGTTAATTATTAGATAAGAGACATATGTAGTTAAGATAAGTAGTTATCTTGTTATTGAGTAGTATAAGATGTAATCCCTCTATTTACTTCCAAATTCAATAAGATTTCTTCTCAGTTTCTATAATCCACAGGGAAAAATCAAAAGCGTGGGATCGTCCAAGACCATTTTATTGATTTCGGAAGGAAGAAACATCACTCCAATCCCCACTTGAATCACTTCATCCTCATGCATGCGTTCACCAGTGTGACTTGTTCATTTTGTTTTTAGTTCAATTCAAAGTAGTCGGCATCAATTATTGCACATGGGAAATCATGTGGAGAATAGAGGTGCCAATTGAACCGCGTGATGCCACGTGTGGTTTGTGTTGTGAATTTGTAGTGCCGCTTCTGTTCCAGACTGTCGTTTGCTACGTCCAAAAATTTTATACTGTCATAGCAAAATTAAAAAAGAAAAAAGGTAAGGGGGAGGAAAAATAAAAAGAGAAATGCACACTGCCCTTTTAATATTAGCTTGCTTAGTTTTGACGTTCCCAACTCTTATTAGACAAGCAACACTGTCTGTAGCATGTTCAGCATATTCTCATCATGAACAGTTGGCGAGAGTGCAGAACATGCACTTGAATGAATACAGAGAAAAATGGAGCGCTACAGTCACACCCCCAACCACATCTTTAACCAAACTCATCTCTCGTTACAGTAACTGGGGCTCACACGAGAATTTTAAAAAAAAATCTCATGTGGACCCCAGTGCGCTGTAGCGAGAGAAGAGTGTGATTGGAGGTATGGTTAGTGAGTGTGCCTCTAGCATTTTCCGAGAAAAATATTTATGGCAGGTAAGAACATTCTTTGATTTATAATTGAAGTGACTACTCGGTTGAGATTTGTAACTGTATAATTGTAACCGCACTTGCAATCGCTTCTTTTCACTATAACTGCGTCCTTTCGAAATTGCATTTACAAAAAAATGATTACTAATTTTATAAATGTAAGTCGTACTTTGTAAAACACCCTACTTTTGCAACATTATTCGTAGTGAAACAAACAGTTCCAGTTATATTCTTTTGTAAATTGCAGTCACAATGGCACTTGCAAAATTTTGCAAATAAATATGTCTAAATTATTAAATTAAACAGGATTTTTTTTTAAAAAAAATTCTCACTGAAGCAAGTAATCTATGCAGCACAAGTGCGTGTGACCGTAAAGATTAAGATGTTGGTGAAAGATTTTGTCAGCAGCTGTCAAACTTAATAAGTTCTGACACCTGAATCAAATCCTTACTGCGAATTATTCGAATTAACACCAACAAAGATGTTAATTAATTATACTTCGCTTTTCCATGACTACAGCTTTCATGATACTAATCGGATGACCAAAACTTAAGATAAATGTAGAAGCATAATCTTACAATTAGCAATGGAAAAAGGAAAGAAAATAAGAATGATGCATGATTACATAAATTAAATAAATATCGTTTGAAGCTGCATTACACCAGAGCCAACTATCCCTAAATGGTTTCTCCTCTTCATGTAAAATACAATACAATAAATTTCTTATACCAATTTGAACAAAAAGAATTGTTAATCGATGATAATTCTGTACTTGAAGTCTCCTCATCTTGAGAGTGACTGAAGCCCTGCTTGCAGATCCTCCAGAGTAATAGTAACCAAACTCTCAGCATCCAAGCAATCAAAATCCAACCTGAGATCCAAATTCTCTCTAGCGTTAGCAAGCAAAGGATCAATTAAACCCCCATTCATCTCCTTCCTCTGATCCTCTGTAGTCTCTCTCTCAATCAACTCCGCAACCAAATTTATACTACAAGACGAATGCAATTTGAATCCATACCAAGGACTAGTCTCATCTTGATCGCTCATTTTCAGATGTAGAATTTGAGAGAGCTCGTTCGTGTTGAAATTATCAAAGTAAAAGAACTTCGTAACTCTTCTACAAAACCCTTCGTTTGATGCAATGACTCGTTTCATAGGCTCTCGATATCCAGCAAATATAACCATTATTTTCCCACTGTCCATTACTGACATTATCTCTTCCAAGGCTTCTATGCCGTAGTCTTTGTCATCTGATTTCTGCATCGGTATCAATCTGTATGCTTCATCTATGAACAGAATGCCTCCCTCTGCTTCTTTTATCTGTTTACATATGTTCCGCACATTGTCATGGCATGTTTTAAGGTTAAAAGAACAACTAACTAGGAAAAATGTAGACGAGCCTTTGAACATAAATTGAACATGCTGAAGTAACATCTCTACGAGTCCCATACCTTACTTTGGTTTGGGGGAAGGAGACTAAGTCAGGCGTTACAAAATAAAACTAGAACACTCAACCATCATCTACTTCAGATTTTTGCACAATGGAAGGGACTTTAAGATGGTATCAAATTACTCAAGGTTTAATTCTCACGAGATACTTTTATACAGATAATGTCTGGCCCATGAAAAGGGCCCTCACCCTACACTGGCATGCTAGAATATATAATTATAATTCCCAACCATCACCACTTTGGAGTTGTGATACAATGGAAGAGACTTTACGATCCAGATTAAAAAGGGTATAGCCAACTGGTCTTAGACTAGGATATTTCCATTAGTAGTCGTAAATAATAATATATAGTAATTTGTAAATATTGTATCATCTGAAAATATTTTATCAAATAGAAGCCCCAAGGAAACGCATTATACCTTTCGCCTAGTCTTTGGTCCTGTGTGCCCTACAAATTCTCCGACAAGATCAGTTCGTTGAACTTCAGTTACCTTGTCAGTTGGTAGAACTCCAACCATATGGAGGAGTTTGCCAAGCGCTCGGGCCACCATGGTTTTACCTACAAATGATAAATGTTATAAATTTAGTGAAGTCTAATGATAAAGAGGACACTTTAAAACTAAAGAAAAACGAATACAATACGGATAATGTTGAAAGCATATACCAAAGTATTTTTTCCCATAACAAATTTCACTAGAGTTTTCTCTATGGTAACAAGTATTGAACAGCTTCTTGCAATAAATATTAAAAAATTTGATCTAACGGAAATGTTGGAACATAAATTAGATGCTTAATGTATTTAGACAATTGTATAAAAAGCTTGCATTCTGCTAGAAAATGTTGTCAGTGTGTAGTACGAGTTTGAAGTTATTTTCACATAGCTATTTACCTGTTCCAGGATTTCCGAGAAATGCCATATGGGGAGGTTTTCTGGCAGCTATCTTTAAGCCCAGAGCTCTTCGCTTCTCATCAAAAAGCATCCCCTTGGCCCATTTATACAATTGAGATTTGAGGTCCTGCAGACCCACAATCTTTTCCATAGCTTCTTCAAACTCTCTCATTTTTTCTTTTGCCTCCCCAAAAAATTCAATAGCTTTGCGCTTCCTTTGCTCTTGAATGTACCGTGTCAAAAGCCCATGCAACTTCTCGCTACCACCTCCATGTTGTGAAACATGATCCAATGGAGTCTTTCCTTCCTACATCATAATAGAATAAGTTGGTAATTTATCATTACATGACATCCCCAAAAAAAATTAAAATTAAAATTAAAATTTATCAGGACTTCCACCGTCTGAACCTCAGACCTTTTCTTTCACCCCTTCTTTTTTTTTGCCTCAACTTGGATGGAGCTTATTCTTATTCTAGTTAAACTGAGGGCAAAGGGTAATTTATCATTACATGACCTCCCAAGCAAACTTTTGGAATAATCTTGCTTGGATTTTAGGGGGAATTAGTGGCTATGCACTCATACGCAGGGGGTGCATCTGCGATTAACCGTAAAAGATTTAACTTGAATTTGTTCAGGAATCATACATCGTCTTTGACACCACAATCTGCGCTGAACTCTAACAACGTGCCAACAGTGACACAGTCGTCCGCTAGAAGAGCATGCCATACTGCTAGATGCAACGGAGTCATTCCATTCTGCAATAAATAAAAGTTACATAAAACTCAAAACTACGGCTGCATCAAATCAGCTAGGAAATGAAAAGAGCAAAGACGCATAAAAATTATCAGCAGTCATAGTTATTGTACTACTCACACTTGTTCTAGCCTCTAGAGAGGCACCATGAACAATAAGCACCTGCGCAGATTCACTGCAGCCATTTTTTGCTGCCATATGCAAAGGCGTTTCGCCATACTGAAACAATTTACAGGAGACGAGCTAAATACATGTTAAAAAAAGCTAATTGAAAAACAGTAAGATTTATGGAACACCCAAGTTTTTTAAGCTGTAGATCACCATGTTTTTAGCCTCCAATTCGATCTTCTCCGTGCCCTTGTACTCGAGAAGAAACCTGACGATGCCGACGTTGTTATTTCCAGCAGCTACATGCAGAGGTGTTTGTGACATCTATATAATGGAGCAAACGGGATGTCACAAACGGAAATAATTACAAGAAATTTACAATCAAGAATCTTCAATCCAAATGCAAGAGATCAAAAGTTGAAGCGCAAAGACAAAATTTGATCCTAAGACAGGAATTCGCAGCATGCAGGGATCTAATGACATAATATAAACCCAAGAATTATTTCCAGCGCAATTGAAACAATGAAAGTAAATACATGTAGCAAAAAAAAAGAAAAAAAAAAGGAAAGGACCTTCCTTTTCTCAAGAATTAGACGTTTTAAAATTAAAATAAAGGAAAATAAAAATAAAAACATTTTATTTCCGAACAAAAACAGACGCTTACGATGGAATTTCTTTCGTTAAGAAGAGATGGGTTCTGCTGCAGCCTCTTCTCCAAGCCGAAGAGATCCCCTGACTGAGCGCAGCCATGGATGGTTTCACGTTTGGATGATCCTGACCGTCCATTTTGGCTCCCTGGCATCCTTTTCCCCTCCCTTTCCAACAATTTCTCCGTTTTTCTTTGGGGTGGCCTCTTTTGTTTGTCCCTGGGCCTCTGGTTTTTTTGAGTTGGGTTTTGGATTTCCCACGGAAGAAGGAGGAGGAGGAGGAGGAGAATCTCTCTCTTTCTTGCTCCTTTCGTTCTCTCTCCCCCTCTCTCTCTCTCTCTGGAGCGGTGCTGGGGCCCACGAGCCACCACCACCAGCTGGAAATTAGTAAATGCTATTATTATTTCGTGTGTTTTTTTTTATTTTACTGTTTTTGGAGATTGAGCTCTGCTTATAATTGGAATTTGCAATTTGAGATAGGAATTTGTGATGGTTCTTTTTTCTAACTTTTTTGAGGCGTGTGAGGTCCGAAATACCCTCGTAGATTTGTTAACTGTCTTTTGTCAGTGTGTGTGGATGTGTTGAGTGAGAAGGGCTGACAGCGACGAGGACCCCTTAATATAGCCCTAACGTGCTCGTATTATGCCTAAGCGCGAATAGAAAGATCTCATGTAGTTTTATTCTTACGGATTGTTCTTGAAGTAAACACTGCACTTTTGCAAATAGTATGATAATTTTCTCCGCAACTGGGCTTTATGTACAAGGGATCTATCTGTAATTAAGTTTTTCATAAAAAAAAAATTTTTAGTGAAAACATGAATTGGTGTTTGACTACGCAAAATCTCTATACTATTATTGATGTTGTCTTTTGTGAAATTGTGAGAGTTTAGAGGGAGAATATTGTAACATTTTTGACCTTCCCATGAATTTTTTGATATGTAGATATTATTTGGCTAAATACGCGTCCCATCTCCGCTTTCTTTTCATCATAAATGATTAAATTTGGGTCAAGAGATGACTTTTAATAGCGTGTCGGTGATAATTAAAAGTGAATGCTGCAGGCCACCCACAGCTCTCTGTGATTCACGTGTGCTACTGAAATAACAAACACACGCCGCAGAACTATATGCAGGGAGGACCCCGGACTTGATAATATTTGCACTCCGTTAAAAATACAATTTGCATAAATCGCCCCTTCGCGCGGTAGCGGTTGGCAGATGATGATGATTCGGTTTCTCCCGCATCCTTATCTGTAACATATTTTCTTTTAACCGATAGGATCCAGTATCACGGAGCATCCAAACCACTAGAAATTGTTTAAGGAAAATAGAAGAGGGGGATGAAAAAGAAGAAGAAGGAATATTACGTATTTTCCTATTTTCCAACTGCAAAGCTAGTTAAAAACGAAAATATAAATCCTAGAAAGATTGATGAACTGCTTGCATGAACTGAGCAGACCTAACCGCCAAATTTATCATGACAGGTAGAGGCCAAACTGCATGATAAGCAGCAGGCTGTCATATAATTCTGTGAACACAAAGTACAATCTGCAATACGTGATGTTTCATACAAATGAACTGCGTTCATAATTATTACTCGGCTTCAGATCGATACAAGAAGGCTCGTGCTAAAGGGAGTAGTAGCTTTCTGCAGCTTCTTAAAAGCTTCAGTAAATGAAGTATTCAGGTATTAGTCGATACACAGAACTTCATCCTTTCATGTTGGCCAGTAGGCACAACTTAACAAGCATCATACAATTACAACTTTCCGTTTTGTTACATTTTCCACGAGGGTGGCGAGAGCATCGTACAGAAACGAGCAGAAGCTGAATCGATTAAACATAAACTATCCTGCAAAGAAAACATCAAATTGGTCGGATAAAGAGAAATTGATGAAATCCTTTGGTAATAAAAGAACCAGAATATTCCAAATGCCAAGATATCCTCAAATTAGCTCATTAGACGAGAGATTCATTCTGCTCATTCTATCTTCTTTAAATAAAATAAAAATAAAAACCTACCACACTGCATAGAAAAGAGACAATTAGTTGCAGATCCCAACAAAAAAAAGGAAAGAAACAGTAATCTAGTCTCACAAGTTAAAAAAAAAACCATCACAAGGGAAGAAATCATTGTCGGAACAAAGAAACTGAAATGCAAGATTTACTTTGAAACACGAGAATTTTGAGCATAAATCCAAATACGATTAATTCCTTTTCTCCGGGAATGCTGACTAGCAAAGATTAAAGAGAAAGCATCCGATGTCCCTAGCACATATGCTTGATAATGCGATTTTCCAAGCCAATCGACATGACAGAAAATGTCAAGAAGGGTGTGCAAAAGTTAACAAATTGGGTGCGCAAAAGTTTAACCTAGTTAATTAGAAATTAAGCATGTGAAAATGAACTTTCAACTTCCCCTACACCCCATCCATGGATCAATTCTCCTATAACGACAAACAAGCTATTTCCGACATTCTCTCGACACAGATGTAGATTAGTTCCTCCTCTAAGCAAGTCCTAGTCACTTCTTATCAGTTTTCCTCTGCATGGAAGTTACGTACTCTCTCGTTAAATTGAATGAAATTTTACACAACCATCTTGACAATTTCTTTATCATTGTCTTGGACCACAGAACCATCAAGCATATGTGGTACTGGTATGTACAGTCAGCCCACTGTATACTTTCTCAAGGACCAAATCCAAAATACAAAAAGAAATGTTCCTGTAGGAGGAAGGATTAATATAAAAGGGCATGTATTCGAGGGAGAAGCATGCACGCATGACACTACTCATCGTGAGTTGCACCATTCATTATGATTCCATGCTCTAAAATATTTATAAGATGAAATGATTTGATAATATCACTCACTGATCAAACTGTCATATTTCTGCTACCATTAAAGACCTAATTACTTACAAATTACGATTCGCGGAAAAGTCTTTTTATATTGTATTATTTCTTTATCATCACATACTAGAACATGATTGATACTCCATGTGATTGTGTTATCTACAATAACCCAATAGCTTCAGGCTTTTTTCTCTATTTACCTCCTTCCATGTGTAAGAAGGGAGCAAGTAGACAACCAATCTGATGAATTGTCTGCAGAAATATATTACCTTCTCCCTATATATGAATGTACGTTTATAGAGAAGGGAACAAGGGAGAGGAGGGGGTCGTGTGTCTTTTCACACATTAAATGATCAATCATAGAGTTACCCTGATCGCCAGAGCCTAAAGCCAAAATATGAAAGAAATAAACAGTTCCTAAGCCATCTATAAAGTGGTCCACGTCCCAATAGAAGTGCAAGAGAAATTCAATGGATGAGAAAATCACTTCATTCAACTAATGTATGCTTGGTTTCAGAACGCACAACCAATTTAATAGTGCTTAATCATATGAACCTGTTAAGAATTACTCTAGCAAACTATTCAGTTATCGCTAACAATGTATATCAAGCTAACATAATTTCTAAAAGCTTCCTCCCAAATGGGATGTTGAGTCACATAGAAAGATCCCCAGTTTTGAAGTTCATTTGGAAAGACAGAATAAATGGGAGTTAATAAATATAGCTTATAGTTGAAAATAATGAAGTTTGTATAAAAAAACTCCTCAGTATTCTGATAGCACATCAATAATCACTTTATCATCACGATTTCAGGTCAGATAGATCCTAAATGTACTGGTTTCAAACAAGTCAAAAAACTTGTGCATAACATTTATAATAAAATCAAGTCACACAATAATCTAGTTGAAAAGCCAGTCTGACCTGAGTGCTCTGATAGCACGTCAATAATCTAGTTAAAAAATAATGAAGTTTGAACCAAAAGTCTCCTGAGTGCTCCGATAGCACGTCAATAATCACTTTATCATCACCATTCCAGGTCAAATAGATCCTAAATGTGCTGATTTCAAACAAGTCAAAAAAATTTTGTGCACGATATTTATAATAAAATCAGGTCACACAATAATCTAGTTGAAAAGCCAGTCTGACCTGTCCCATGAACATCCCTAATGAAAGTATATAACCGTGTACTATCTTAATAGCATGAAACAATGAAAAGAACCTATGATTTCAAGATTTCTTACAGCTTGGTCAACGCCATAGTGAATAATCTGTTTAAAATAGCATTAGCATGTTGGACAACAACTCTCTTAGCAAGCCAATATGTTGAACAGAAATATGTTTAATGCATATAAATCAAATATCAAAATGATTGAGATCTTGATAGAAACCCCTGTGCTCTAAAAGCCTTCAGAAATTCTAATATAGATCTGGACAAAATGATATGAAAATACATCCATTAGGTGCCACTTGATATAAAAGAATGAATCACAGCCTTTTTTCATTTTAAAAAATATATGTTTAACAGTTGGTCACATGCTAGGATTGAAGCTCATATCTTGACCATAAGTCTTTATGTACATCACCAAATTGAAGTACAAAAGAACAGATTAATACGAAGAAGTGGATGAATATTCAACATTTAAGGCAAAAAAAGCCGAATATACCTGATTGGTGACACAGTACTAGGAATTATTCGACTTGCATGCTTCCAGGAAAGGAGATCGAAGCACAGCAATGATAGTATCCACTTTCATCAAAAATGAATCTCTGAGAAAGATGTGCTTCTTGAATGAGATAATCACCCCAGTTCTCAGATCCATATCTTAAGAAGATGCCACGTGCATCAAAGGAATCATGCCTCCTCATTCTCTTCTTCCTACGAATATACAGTGCATGTACAAAAATGTCACGGGTACAATTTGTTCAAGCTATCTAAGAGTTGATTCACCCAAAAGTTTAACCTGTTTAAAATAAGGGCTAATACATCTCCAATTTTTACTTACCAGATAAATAAATAATATTAAAATTGACAATAATAATGCATGAAATTAGTACCTCCTAAACCTGTCGTTTCTAATATCATGCTGAGAACTAAATTTTCCAAAAACTACTATAGATTGTGCGTTAACACCGTATATCAAGCTAGTATAATTCTTAAGATAACAATGAGAAAAGCATGTGAAAAGTTGAATACCCTTTTCTGTGTCTTGCATTCATCAATGTGGCATGGAGCTGCAATTGAGAGAACCATATCAGTTAGTTAGAAACAAGAGCAGGTTCTAGGTCAAAACAACATGTTAATGACAAAGATCCTCGAGTGTCTTCACTAACTTCCTAATATTTTAACATGAATGATGTACTGAAAGAGAAAGATCAGATGACTTTACCTTCAATGCTTGCTGAGCATCTTTTTCAAGAACAAGACCTGCTTCAACATAAGCTTTGATAATGACTTCTGAAGTACCGAGTCAAGTAATAACATGTCAACTTATGACTTGCTAAGTTATGCAACTCTCATAGAATTAAATAGAAAAAAATAATAGTAAGTTGCAACAAAAAAAATGAAGGTTTTGGATACGACAAGCGCGTAACAAGCGACCCTCTCCACCAATTTCTTCTATTGGAGCATACAAGACACGAGCTTTAGCTGGTGAACCTCGCATACATTTCTGCAACATGAAGTGGTTTGCTTATCCTCTCCTAAAGGAAATAACAAAGGTACTAATATGGTGAACAAGTAACTCATCTATACACATAGAATGACTATAAATTAAGAGACACTTTCCTGCTTCCTTACAATTCCTGCTTTAAACAAAATAATTATAAATAAGTGTCCAGAGTTATGAATGATTAATATCAACATTTCTCAATTCAGTTCACTCATCTCACATCTCATGAAATTTTAAGCAAACACACTCAAGACTGTCTTTTTATACGAGAGTTCCTAAGTGAAAATTCTATCATTAAAAAACCCAGTAATCAAGTTCTGCCCTACCGTTACAATAAAAACTAACAATACCTATCATAAACTATGAAATCCTGGGATGTATTAGCAAATGTCAAGATTAAAATGATAATAAGTTAGACTAATTGGAGCTGGAACAAAATACCAGTCCCTTAAGCCTTATTAGAACAGGCCGGTTGTCCAGAGCATCATTCACTTCTGAAGATATTTTCTGTAATCAAGAAAGTAACGTATTTTATCATCCAACCCCAACAAAAAACTGAACTCGAATTGTATTATAACATCCATCACCTGCAGAACGTCTGCAGCTGCAGCAACACGATCTTTGTTCCACAATTTCAGCATAAGCACAGTTAAGTGAAATGTCTTGGGCTTAATGAATATGGATTTGTCAATGCCCAATTCTGTAACAAACCAATATGAGAAGTTAGAAATATGTGCGTAAAGGTATACAGCAGTATGCATAGTGCAAAAGAATTCTATTTCAAAGAAACAGGGAAGCAACAAAGATATTTCAATATGGGTTGATGTTTGATTGCTTATATAGGTTGTTGGTATATAATCCATTAGTTTAATTATTACTACTATTTTTATTTTTTATTTTTTTTTGGTAAAGTTAGTTTGTCCCAAGACAATCTAGATTCAGACCTAATTCTTGGAAATTTGACGTATACTGTTTACAACTATTTATTCTGACTTGAATTAATATTCCTCTGGAGGCCTTTTCATGGGATCCAAAAACCATATGTTAAGCTTTTGGTAATGTGATTCGCTAACAGTTAAAAGCAGACCTTACCTGATAAAATGGAACTTGGATTTTTACTAGCATCAGAATTGGCATTTGTAGTATCAATCTTCACTCTAACATGCTCCTTTTTGTTTTCCACTTCAAGCTTAACGGAAATAGATTTTCCCTCATCATTACTATCCTCTGAAGTATCTTCATTTGAATTGCTTTCCAGATTACCTTCCTGCCCAGAATCACTGCATCCCAATATAGCATTCTGAAAATCTTGTAGTTTACCTACAAGCTCTGTGTGAATAGCCAATGGAAGAGAAATGAAATGGGAGTAATCAAGGCTTGGGCTTTTCACCACCTGAAATTATAAGACCAGAAAATTACAATCCAATATATTGCAGACACAATCTAAGTCTCAATATCATTAAAAGTTTAGCTAAACCACATGTACAATTTTAGAAAAAAAAAAGTAACTGACTGATCCAAAAACTATTGCAAGATCAGGCTATCTTTGATTTACAAGATATATCTAATAAGTTGAGATATAACTCGATACATTGCCTCTCTTCCACTGCAAGCATATCCCATCTCGATATCCAATAATACTTTAAGGCTAACCAAAACGTTCTTATTGTTAATTGACAATAATATAGTCAATTTAACTAATGGTAATGATGGAAAAGGCTGTTATACTTGAAGTCTTCCTTCACTACTATTACTATATATATTGAGCACATTAAGCCACTGGTAACCTATTATATATACTGCCCAAGGACATATGAGGTGATCAATTTGAAAGTGCTAATTTAGTACAAAGTTGTACTTGGTAGAACAAAGTGACAAACTCATCTGTTCCAACCTTAATCTCTTAAGGAAGGGCCTCCATCGATCAGCAAATAGGAATATCCAGAAGAGGCAAAATAACCCGGGATTAAACAACTTTTTCACCCCTTTAGGTGATTTTCCATCCAAACTTTTTCCCAACTTTCCTTTTCTCTATTTTTCTCGATTTAGGTTTCCAAATTGAACTCATCCATGGTCAGAGGTAGAGGTAGAAAGCTAAATCTTCATTGGCAAGTGCAATGTCAAAAATTTTGATTTCTAAGGAAAATTCCCCTCTACTTTCATTTTACTTTTTGATAGAATCTTGAGATTTGAAGAGAAAATGAGTTGGTGTGGAATGTGGATCTTGATGTTTGACTCATTACATGGAAGAAGTTGCTTGAATTATGCTGCATATGGATAGGGGAATAAAGAGAAGGATTTGGGTTAAATGGAATTAGAGCTCCGGTGTAGATGCGTTTGGAATTAGTAGGAGAAGAATGAAAAGATGGTGTTGGGAAGTATATTTCAAACGATTAGTATATGTGCTAAATATATTACCCGTTAAGAAAGCGATTTAAATAAAAAAAATTAACGGACAGTTAATGGATGGTACTAAAGTTAAAACTTGGTGAAACTTTGGGGCATCATCAGGAACATTTTAAATTTTAGGTATCAAAGTTGAAAACCAGTGAACTCCAGGGCACTGAAGTGCCAAAGAAAACCCATATGAGACACAGTTCATTTAGGCATGTCAACCATCCAAAGTTTCAAATAAAGCTTCTGTCACAAGTTTTTCTTGTATTGAACTTTTTAAATCATGCTTTTCTTTCACCTACTCGTATGCTCTTGGGTTGGAAGGTCGTGATAACAAATTAGCTTTGGTTTAACAAAAGGAAACGGAATTACACTTTCCTACCTTAAAACTTAAAGCACAAGGTTTCAGAGAAAGCTTCTGTCATGAGATTTGTTAAGGAATATAAAGGAATATATTATGAAGATCTATAGTGTTATAATTATATTAGGAATAATATATTAGGAGTATAAATTAGAGGTTTGGTAATTGAGAGATATCACGAATGTAACTAAGAGAACAATTGTAATTAGGTAATTGTGTTTAGTTCCACATTGACTATACAATAAACTTCTTGGTATTGTAGCCCTATATAAAGGGGAGTATTTGTAGCGTTTGATATATGAATGTGAATCTACAATATTTTATTGTTTTACATGGTATCAAAGTCACGCAAAGCCTAGGCTCTACAAACCCTAGATCCTAGCCCCCTAATCCCTCACCATCAAACTCCTCCTTCCTTACAAGCTCCCTTCTTTCTGGTCACTGTGAACAGGCGCGGTAACTGTTCATCATGAATAGTACTACGGTAACTATTCACTGTAAACAATGCCGCGGATTCTTGTTCATCCTGATTTCGATGGCCTTGTTGATAATTAGGATTGACATTATTCGTAGTAGTAGTCATCCGGCCTATGCTGTCTCGATTTTCATTCGTTCACCGCCTACTCAACTTATTGCCACCACCACCATCACTACTTGTGTTCTAAAAACATTGACCACCCTTAGCTATCAGAAAAAAAGATTTTGATTGAATCAGGATTTGATTCGGAGTTTGGTGCGATGGAGGTTATTTTCTCGGCTTTATTTGTTTGGTGGATCCTTATAAAGGAATCATTTGTTTGGCAGATCCCTAAAGAAGGATCATTTATTTGTTAGATCTCGAAGAGGACCGTTTGTTTGGTTGATCCGTGAAGAGGATCATTTATTTGGTTGATCTGTGAAGATGATCGTTTGTTTGATGGATCTTTAGGATTTTTTATTTGGTGGATCCCCAAAGAGAATTATTTGCTTGGTGGGTCTCACCAGAGGATCTTTGTTTGGTAGTTTCTTGGTCGATCTATGAAGAAGATCGAGATTTCGCATTTGGTGATTTTAGTTGAGGTTATTCGTGGTAGAAAACATTCAAGTAGAAGACTAAAAGATGAAGACAACTACAATGAGAATGTCACATAGAAGATTTCAGTCTTTTTAAGTCGTGTCACAAATTGGAGTGACTACATATTATTTGTAACATGTATGATATATATGCTCCGGCATGAGGGGGGGTATTAAGAAATATATTATGGAGATCTATAATGTTATAGCTATATTAGAAATAATATATTAGGAGTATAAATTAGAGATTTGGTGATTGAGAGACATTAAGAATGTAACTAAGAGAATAATTGTGATTAGGTAATTGTGTTTAGTCTCATATTGACTACACAATAAACTTCTTGTTATTATATATCCCTATATAAAAGGGAATAGTTGTAACGTTTGATATATGAATGAGAATCTATAACATTTTATTGTTTAACATTATTGTCATGATTTTGCTGCATCAAACCTAAAGCACACATTCCTTCATTTTTTTCAATCACCATTAAAGCAACCATTCCTTCCACCTACCCATATACTATCAGATTACAATGTTGTAATCAGAAAATAGCCTCACTTAGCAAAAGCAATTGGGTTTAATACAAAAACTTCCACATAGGCAATCAATTCATCTTTGTAAAGAAATAGAGAAGGCAAAAATTCCTTATTCATCTAACCTTAACCTCTCTTAAATAGATATTAGAACGATATTACAAAATAGGAATGAAATAAAAGCATATTTAACCACATCTCACAATATCTCAACTGTATCTCATAATATTTACTAAATCTACTCATACCATATTATCAATAATATCTAACACTACACCTCAAGTTGGAGCATATATACTATATATGCCTAACTTGTTACAAATAGGAACAAAATAGCTAATAGAAATCCTATGAGGGCAAGCCAATAGAAATCCTAGAAACGTAAGCCAATATAAATCACAGGTGGGTAAACCTGCAGAAATCCTACGCGAGTAAACCAATGAGAACACCCTAGATGGGTATGCCAGTAGAAAACACCCAAGGTGGGTACATTAGTAGAAATACCATGTGCAGGTGCGCCAGTAGAAACCCTAGACGAGCGCGCCAATAGAAACACCCTAGGAATGTATGCCAGTAAATACCCTAGGTGGGTTAGCGTTCAGCCAGTAGAAAAAATAATAAAAAAACTCTTGATTGATTAATCGCTCGCTTGGTTACTTGATCTTGATTTTAGCGTCCTTCGACGAGAAAGATAACTTTAACTAGAGGCAGAATCATAAAGGAAGCAGTAATGATTGTCAGAGTCAACCGAGGATGAGGGGTCAGGATAAATAGTGACTTGCTATTGTTCACGTGGCGAACAGGAATCCGACTACAGTTCATGAATGATGAACAGTACTCCAATGAACAGTTATATTTTATTAAATTTTTTGGGGGGAAATAGGGGTTTTTTGGAGGGTTTTTTTAATAAGGATTTAGGATTGGCGATCTCGAAGTAGTTGTTAGAGCTAAAGATGTCAAAGCCACCTACAGGAAGCATGGAGGCGGTGCAAACCCCCTCGGCAACCCCGAGGTTGAGGAAGAAGAAGGAGGTCTCTCTAGGATCAAGAAAGTTCTGAGACCATGTTGAGAAATAAAGAAGGCAAAGATTCTTTATTCATCTATCCCTGGGCTCTCTTAAATAGAGATTAGGAGAATATTACAAAATAAATATGAGATAAATTCATATCTAATCACATCTTACAATCTCAAGAATATCTCATAATAACTACTAAATCTACTAATTCCAAATTATCAATAATATCTAACAATCTTCAAAGGACACTTGATATTAAAACGACACATAAGAGATATTGGTAACTTAGGCTACTTTTTGCTTTTTGGACGATCCAAGTTCAGAACTTTCTAGTAAAAAAACCCCCTATTATTGAAATTTAATGTTTTAAAGGATAATTTCATATGACTCTATTAAGTCAACTTCTAGTCAACCAGTGTAGCAAGAGCTTCCTACTAACATCACCGCAATACAACTGAACTTTGTCAATCATATAATGATATAAATTACATTTGAGAAAAGTTACTAATAAAAGGAAATACATAAACAAGCAGATCCACTAATAAAAAGGAAATACATAAACAAACACATCAAGACGGGCAGTGTAACACATATTTGTGTGAAAGAAACATAAAAACTGTATGAAAATCATGAACATTGAAAACCTTGAGATGTAAATTAGAATAGTATTCAAATTTTGTCAGGCCCAAAGCCAAAAAATGCTTATTTTTATTTCTTAAAATTTGATTTTCTTTAACAAAATAAAGGGGGAAAAGGAGATACTGTTTTTGATACTAGAAAGATGCCAACTAACCTCTTCAAGCACTTTTGCTATCTTTTCTGATGCTTTTGTTACACTTTCGTCATTATTCCCTTCAATAACTACAATGAGTGCATAATAATCATAAATTAAATACTGCAAAGTGTGCACAATTACATAGTAAAAATGAGTTTCGAGCAAAAATTGACATGTATTGAAATATCAATAGATATTGATGCTAACTGGAAGCTATTTAAACTTTCTCACTGAACATATGAACTATGTAGCTCCTGAGGCCTACTCAGGTGGTGAGGTTTGGGGTTGACTGACAGGAAGTCCTATATTTGGCCATTGCAAAAAATAATTTAAAAGAACCAGAAAACATGAAGACTGTGTGAACAGAAGTTGCATGACATGGAGCAATATAAATTCTCAATGAAGATGCAAGCTACGACGGAATGATATTAAAAGAAAATTTGCAGAAAAAATAACAGATTCACTACCAAATTTTGGGAGTGGAAACTTTCTCCTGTAAGATAAGGATAGAAAAATATTCAGATAATAACCATATTGCATGTTTTTAACATTATCATATCTTGTATCCATATTCGACTCCCAAAAAATCAAGGTTTTAAATATCAGATATCGGGGAAATATTGACAGCCAAGATCCATATTGGATTGCCATGTCAGGGAAATATCAGGGATATGCAGTAAATATCGGAGTGTCATATCACATAATGTTGATATATAATATAATGTCCTAAGTGTGATCAAAACATACATAATGAAATCTAAGCAAACAAAAACATAAATAATGCATGTATAGGATAACTAGCTAATTGTAGAAACA